ATAAACTCTGGAATTAATTTTCCCATCAATGACAACAAAGCAGCCCCAAACCATGATGCTCCCTCCGCCATGTTTTACAGTGGGGATGAGGTTTTGATGTTGGTGTGCTGTGCATTTTTTTCTCCACACATAGTGTTGTGTGTTCTTCTCAAACAACTCAATCTTGGTTTCATCTGTCCACAGTATATTTTGCCAGTAGTGCTGTGGAACATCCAGGTGCTCTTTTGAAAACTTCAAACGTGCTGCAATATTCTTTTTGGACAGCAATGGCTTCCTCCGTGGTGTCCTCCCATGTACTCCATTCTTGTTTAATGTTTTCCTTATTGTAGATGTGTCAACAAAAATGTTAGCATGTGCCAGAGATTTCTGTAGGTCTTTAGCGGACACTCTGGGATTCTTCTTTACCTCATGCAGCATTCTACGCTGTGTTCTTGCAGTCATTTTTACAGGACGACCGCGCCTAGGGAGAGTAGCAACAGTGCTAAACTTTCTCCATTTGTAGACAGTCTGTCTTACCGTGAACACATGAACATCAAGGCTTTTGGAGATACTTTTGTAACCCTTTCCAGCTTCATGCAAGTCAACAATTCTTGATCGTAGGTCTTCTGAGAGCTCTTTTCTGTGAGGCATGGTTCACATCAGACAGTGCTTCTTGAAACCAGTAAATCCAAAACAGGTGTGTGTTTTTTAAGGGCAGGACAGCTGTCAGCAACACATCCAATATCATCACACTGATTGGAGTCAAGGTGGGCTCACTCCTGGCTCCAATTAGCTCTGGGAGAAGTCATTAAGCTAGGGCCTCACATACTTTTTCCTCCCTGCACTGTGAATGTTTACATGTTATGTGCAATTAAACCATGGCAACATCTAATGTTTGTGTAGTATTATGTTCAGCAGACTGTGTTCTTCTATTGTTGTGACTTAGATGACGTTCAGAGCACATTTTTTATGCCCAATTCATGCAAAACTCCACATAATCCCAAGGGGTTCACATACTTTTTCTTGCAACTGTATAAATGGCTTTATATATTATTGTTAATATTTTGAATTTTATCCATTGGGCAATGGGAAGCTAGTGGAGAAATTGGTAGAGAGGGGTGGCAGATATGGAACGGTTAGTAAGGTGGATAAGTCTGGCAACAGCATTCATGATAGACTGAAGATGGGATAGCCTGAGATGAGGTAGGCCAATGAGGAGGGAGTTATTATAGTCAAAGCGAGTGAGTTCTGTCACTCTCGCTATTTTTATTTTTGCTACTGGTGAAAGGGGGGGGGGGGTGTAGCACAACACTCAGTCCTCCTAAGGGGCTGGATTTTCAGATATAACTTTAGAGCAAACTGGATTTGTCCCTTGTCTCATCAGACATACGGCTACAGGTGCAACCTACTGTATATTTGCCTCACAACATCTTAGACCAAATTCCACTAGAACTCAATCCAATGATCCACCAGGATCCTGGTGACAAAATGTGGAGGTTGATATCATTATGGCTTATGAATCTTGCAGTTTATCATTGTATTTTCAACCCGGCAAAATTTTTGGGAACTAAATGCCCTCAGGTTGCTGTTTCTACTACCTAGAATGTATACAAGGCTACATTGTGAAGCACCTTTACAAATGCCGTAGAAATCATTAATAAACCCAGAGTTATCAGTAGATATCAAAAAACATTGCTTGAATGCAGAGACCACAAACAATAATGCTCCCTCACCTTTTAATGGTCATCTATGGAAAAGCAAACTAAAATCCCATAACCTAGCACTCCCCAAAAAAGTCAAAAGAAATTTCTTTGCCATGAAAAATATTTGGAATTTGGAGACAAAATCAGTAGACTTCTATCACTCCCAGCCAGACCACTTTTTCTATAATGACTCATGCAAGTTCATTTATTTTTAGGGCTATCTGTGGCCCTCACTAGTTATACATTTATTGTTTCTATGTATTTAAAAAAGCTCTTTCAAATTCTCATTTTCCTGTCCTTTTTACTTAAAATATATAGCTAATTTTTTTTTTCTTAGCATCAACTGTCAGGGACAGAATGGCAAAGAAGCAACCTATCGATGGCTCAGGCAGAAACACCAGATGATAAACATAAATTTTGCAATTCTGCTTCTGTAAAAGGTGTCACCAAGTTGTCTCTCTAATATTAATAACTCTTGATCATTGACCCAACACAAGTATTTGGATGTCGGCCATCTCAACAACCTTTATACATGCTTGTTCCAGGCTAGTGAATCAGCAAAGTAGGAAAAAAAGATGACTGCTTTGGAACATACACTTACTTGTCAGCAATGGCAGCTCTCACGATTTTATCCTTTCAAACTGCCTTATTAAGCAGTCGCAGCTCACTTGTGTCATTGATAAGAGGGATTTCACGCCTGATAAACGCTTCATATTGACCGAGTCAGGAAGCAGTTTGAACAGTGTCAGAATTTGTTCTACCATTACATTTCAAACAAGCAGGAAGCCAATCCCAGCCAGTAGCACTCACAGAGAGCAAAGGATTAATGTATTAATCCACCACAGATGTGACCTGTTAATCTCTTCCAGAGATGACAGCACTCAGAGCTCTGGAAGCAGTAAATAAATGGAATTAAGACAGCAGATATGTGACTACTAGAAGTACTCATGAACTGAAAGAGACTGGCATTGGAGAAGGATAGACACCAGCGGCCTACTACAAGACTGGCAAGATCATTCTTTGCTTCACTGCATTTCACCAATACACTCCTCTGGTTTTTCTCCAGTGTTTTAATAGTATGAACTAAAAAGCCGTAAATCGAAGATAGAGTATAAAAATTGGTAGCTAGTAAACAATTACTTCCCATTAAAGAAAATAAAATGATTAAAGTTAAAAATGTTACTAAACCCAGGACCCTGAATTCACCCTATCTGGTTTCCCACAGTACACAGAACTTGAAAAAGCCATTATTTTAGTAAATATAAACTGCTAAACACCTTTATTTCACAAGAGCAGTCTTGTGACTTCCATCAGTGTCCAGCTGAGCACTGGTTAAAGCTTTTAGAGGTTTTCATTCTCCTCTCACTGCCCTATGAGATTGCATAACCCCTGACCCTCTGTCTGGACAGTGCCGATTGGCCCAGTGCTGACCACATGCACCCTCCCAAGACAGATAAAAGAGGCTGTGTTCCATCAGGAGAAGAAATGGGGAACGTGGAGGAAGGGGAGGATCAGAGAAGACAGAATCAAACATCCTTTTTATAGAATGCAGAGGCTAAACCCCTTAAGTTGAACAGTGAGTATAACAAGCATGCATTTACTACATATACACACTGATTTTGCTGCTGTGGGTTTAGTAACACTCTAAGCCTGCTTTGCAAATGCAGGGCATATCAACAAGTCTGTATCAATTCCCTCTTCCCAGAAGCACATACTCACCTTTCCTTCAATCCCTGCTAATCCATTCAGCTGCAAGACATAAGAACACCCAGTACTTCTGGGAATGGAGAAGTATGTGGTAGACTCCATCTGGCCCAATCACAAAGCACCAGTAATGTGACATGATTCCTAGCCCTGTGTAAACCAACACAGAACAATTTTGCTTACACAGGGTAGCTTTTCCTGGTCCTGGCAGCTCATTAGACCAGGACAGCAAAGGAAAGGCGAGTATGCGCTGCTGATGCATTAAGGAAACCTTTGCTTTCCTCCTGCGATTCTGCATTGGATCGCACCAAAAGTAGTACATGCACTACTTTTAAAAACGCACTACATCTGGATTGCATGGTACTGCATTTGCAAACGGTGTTTTGGATGTCATCCAGAATATATTGACACTGGCAGCAGATCACACATCTAGTGCGTTTTGAACATGGTGCAGGAAACGCACACGCAACACAGGTTTCCCACACCGTGTTACGATGTGAATAGGCACTAAGTGAAGAAAAAGTTCCCCAACAGTATAGAGAGAGCAAAAATATAACCTGTGTCATAAGTTTTAACTCTTCCCTACTCTGTCCAAAACTGGAAAACGTTTTGGCTATACATACCACTTAAATCAGCAAAGTTATTTTTTATTTTTTTAAATATGATTTTTGTACCTACCATAAAATATTTTTTATGAAGCCCAGTAACGAACACAGGAATTCTTAAACAGTCTGGTTATCCAGCTGCCTACAGGAGGATGGAGAATTGCTAACATTCCTGTGTGCTTCAATGGAGGAATAAGTAAATAAGATCTTTGTTCTTACCATAAAACCTCTCTTGAAGCCCATTGCAGGACACAGGTATACTTCAACCTCCTTTTGGGCGGCAGCATATAACCAAATTGCTTAAAGACCTAGTCCACCTTTGGGACCAAGTTTCATCTTCCAACAATATTTAGGGTGGACAAAGTCACATTCTCCAACCCCTCCCCCACTACCACCCCACCCACTTATCTGAATTGCTGGGTACTTAGCCTTGAAGCAAGCTTTTGTTGCTTATGATTAGACCAAATATGAGTGGCTCCATTCACAGATATATTCAGAGGGATCTACAAATGGCTAGATTATCAACAGATGAACGTACAGAGCACCAGCATGAGAACAGGGACATCACCACACTTGTAGTCCATGTCCACTTCTTTCAGTCCCACAACATAAGTCCTGCACCTCCATACAGACCTGTGGCTTGGATGTAAACAAGGCATGAGCCTGTGCATTGCAGGCTTCAAAACGAGACAAAACAAAAAAAATTATATATATATATGTAATTTTTAACTAGTGCAGTTATTACATTTTTGCAGAGGGACTATGCCTTCTAGCATTCTTAATGTTCTTTTGCCAATTCATTGGATGATAGTCCATTTATCTTTATTTTCCATTTGTTAAACTGATAATAATAAGCCCAGGAGACAGTCACAGCATCTTTATAACAGTCGAAGCAATTCAGAAATAGGCAAACAATCCAAATAAAACAGCAGCTAGAACTGTGTTTTTTTCCCACAGAAACATAACCAAGCTTATTAATATAAGATGCAAGAGGCAAGATCCTCGTTACCTTGAGATCTCGGTGAATGATGGCAGTCTTGCACTGGTGGAGGCGAGCCACTGCTTCACATGTGTCACAGAAGATCTGTAAGACCTCGGCCTCAGTAAACCCAGTCTGCAGACGCTGGTTCATCAGATTTACAACTTGCCCCCCTGCAGAAAAAAAAAACTGCTGGTAATCTCTTGGTGAACTGTATCATTCTGTAAAGCAGTACCCGCTCTACAAGGGGCATAATCCCAAAACAGTAAATGTAACATTCACCAATCATTCACTGCATGTGAGCTTCCTGGTGCTTTATATGACAGTGAATGGTTCACCAGTAGTGAACATCTGGAGAACTTCACATTCACTGCTTTATATATACATGCCACTAATTATACACACAATGTGCTTAATGGCACACATCATAAATGAGACAAAGTACATAACTCATATGAAGATAGAATTGGATGAGTTCATCTGGGGGAAAATTTTACATAAAACATACAGAAGCCTCACTTTTTTTCTACACCAGGAAACCACTAATCATGGCCATACACACGTCAATAAACGATAAACTTTTTTTCCAATCATTTTTTTAAAATAGAAAAAAAAAATAATCATTGATAGTCGGCAAGACAAAAAACAGACAATATGCCACACACAGGGAAAAGGCGTTCAACTGATAGCTGGAGGATTTGATCCTAAATTATCAATTGTATCTCTGTTTCCACCAAGCAATCTCATAATCCAATCAAATCAAAATACAATCTGATTTATGACCGAATCCACGCAGTGCTGTGGCCTGATGCAAAACGATAGCTAAATGGATAGCACGTCTGTCCAGCAGCACTAGGGTTGTCGGTTCAAATCCCAACCACTGCACCATCTGCCTTGGGCTTGCATGTTCTCTCTGTGCCTGTGTGGGCTCGTGTTTGAATTGCCCTAGTATGTGTGAATGTGAATTAGGGATCTTAGATTGTAAGCTCCTTGAGGCCAGCAACTGATGTGACTGTATAGCATATACTTTATGTAAAGCACTGCGTAAACTGATGGAACTATATAAGTATCTGTAATAATAAATGAAAATAATAATTGGTCATATCTAAACGGAGTGTAAATTGATTAGAAGAGAAGTTATGGCTATTCGATTGGTTTCTGATTCGATCACATTTAGATCAGATACTAAAATTAAAGCTTGTATAGCTACATTAGAACTAATTAAGTATATATATATATATATACATATATATATATATATATATATATATATATATAATTTTTAATAATATGTAGACAAATTACAAACAAAAAAACTAAAAATAATAAATATGTGTAATTGGATCCCAACATCCATGTGGTAGAAGCATCTACCAATACGGTGGCTCCCCATACCACCCGACCCACATACAGGTGAAACTAGAAAAATTAGAAAATCGTGCAAAAGTTCATTTATTTCAGTAATGCAACTTAAAAGGTGAAACTAATATATGAGATAGACTCATTACATGCAAAGCAAGATAGGTCAAGCCGTGATTTGTCATAATTGAGATGATTATGGCTTACAGCTCATGAAAACCCCAAATCCACAATCTCAGAAAATTAGAATATTGTGAAAAGGTGCAATATTCTAGGCTCAAAGTGTCCCACTCTAATCAGCTAATTAAGCCATAATACCTGCAAAGGGTTCCTGAGCCTTTAAATGGTATCTCAGTCTGGTTCAGTAGGAATCACAATCATGGGAAAGACTGCTGACCTGACAGTTGTGCAGAAAACCATCATTGACACCCTCCATAAGGAGGGAAAGCCTCAAAAGGTAATTGCAAAAGAAGTTTGATGTTCCCAAAGTGCTGTATCAAAGCACATTAATAGAAAGTTATGTGGAAGGGAAAAGTGTGGAAGAAAAAGGTGCACAAGCAGCAGAGATGACCGCAGCCTGGAGAGGATTGTCAGGAAAAGGCCAATCAAAAGTGTTGGGGACTTTCACAAGGAGTGGACTGAGGCTGGAGACAGTGCATCAAGAGCCACCACACACAGACGGATCCTGGGCTTGGGCTTCAAATGTCGTATTCCTCTTGTCAAGCTGCTCCTGAACAATAAAAAACATCAGAAGCGTCTTACCTGGGCTAAAGAAAAACAGACTGTTGTTGCTCAGTGGTCCAAAGTCCTCTTTTATGATGAGAGCAACTTTTGCATCTCATTTGGAAACCAAGGACCCAGAGTATGGAGGAAGAATGGAGAGGCACACACTACAAGATGCTTGAAGTCCAGTGTGAAGTTTCCACAGTCCGTGTTGATTTGGGGAGCCATATCATCTGCTGGTGTTGGTCCACTGTGCTTCATTAAGTCCAGGGTCAACATACCCATCTACCAGGAGATTTTGGAGCACTTCATGCTTCCTTCCGTAGACAAGCTTTATGGGGATGCTGACTTCATTATCCAGCAGGACTTGGCACCTGCCCACACTGTCAAAAGCACCAAAACCTGGTTCAATGACCGTGGGATTACTGTGCTTGATTGGCCAGCAAACTCGCCTGACCTGAACCCCATAGAGAATCTATGGGGCATTGCCAAGAGAAAGATGAGAGACATGAGACCGAACAATGCAGAAGAGCTGAAGGCCGCTATTGAAGCATCCTGGTCTTCCATAACACCTCAGCAGTGCCACAGGCTGATAGCTTCCATGCCACGCTGCATTGAGGCAGTAATTGCTGCAAAAGGGGCCCAAGCCAAGTACTGAGTACATATGCATGCTTATACTTTTCAGAGGTCCGATATTGTTCTATGTACAATCCTTGTTTTATTGATTGCATGTAATATTCTAATTTTCTGAGATTGTGGATTTGGGGTTTTCATGACCTGTAAGCCATAATCATCACAATTATGACAAATCACAGTTTGAACTATCTTGCTTTGCATGTAATGAGTCTCATATATTAGTTTCACCTTTTAAGTTGCATTACTGAAATAAATTGCACGATATTCTAATTTTTCGAGTTTCACCTGTAAAAAAAACACAGACTGTTTCAGGCAGGATTAAAGTATGGGAAATTAATGGATTTCCACATTTGGTAACAAACCTAACAAAGTTATTTCAAATTGATTACATCTAGGTTTTTCTTCATTTCTTATTAAATGTGGAAGACTCCTTAATCCATAATCCTTTTTCCATTATTTGTACATTAACAGCAACTTAATACAAATGGTATTTTCAGGCTTATAACAAATTGTCTCCATGTATTTGTCCGTAAAAATAATCATCAAATCACACACAAGGACAAAGAGAAAAGAAGTGTTGTCTATGTGCCCTGTTCACACCATATAAGTGCACTGAAGTCTGTTGCATAAAATTGTAGCATGGCTTCCAACAACTCATAACATGCGTCAACGCACTGCTGTGTATACAGTTAAAAAGTGAAACTTGAAAAAAAAAAAAAAAGAAAGAAAATTGCCAACAGGCAGTCTTCTTAACAGAGAATAGACATGCTAAAGGGGGGATTTACTAAACACTGGAGCAGCTCTGCGTAGCAACACAGATGTAATTTCAGCTTGTTTCAGTGGAATGTTACCCTTAAAAGTCTGACAAAGTGGTAGAAAACATTTTTTTTTACCATGTACCTACAGGTGAGCTTACATACCTTCAGGCTTACCTGTAGGTACAATGAATATGGCGCAAAACCAAATCCCAACAAGCCTTCACCCGCTACAAATCTGCCTTCCGCACCTACACCTCCTCCCTCCATGCTGCCAAACAGGCCTACTTCTTGACCCTCATCAAGGCCCTCTCCTCCAATCCTCGCCGACATCTTCTCTGCCTTCAACTCTCTACTCTCTCCACCCCCACCTCCACCCAGCACCTCACTCACTGCCCTTGAGATTGCCAATCACTTCAAAAAAACAAAATTGACACAATTTGCAAGGACATTGCCGCAACTCACACGCCCTCTCAACCCGTCCCCTCTCACACAGCTACCCCCTTATCCCCCCTCCCCCTCGACATAACCCGCAGGGACTTCGTCGCTGCTCAAACTCTCTCCAACCCCTTCACCCTCACTCAGCTACCCCCTCACACCCCTCGCCCACAGCCCCACCACTGCTCTGACCTCTCTTCCACCCCACCCTACATTCCTCATACTGAAGCTCCCCCAAACACTCCACACCTTTGACCTTACTACCATCAAGCAAGTCTCCAAGATCCTCTCTGATGCCCGCCTCACCACCTGCCCCCTCGACCCTATCCCCTCACAACTCCTACGACCTTCCTCCTCCTCCATTGCTCCCTCACCCACATCTTCAATCTCTCCCTCTCCTCAGGCACTTTCCCCTCCCCTCTGAAACATGCACACATCACCCCCATACTTAAAAAGCCCTCCCTGGACCCCAATGACCCGAACAACCTCAGACCCATCTCCCTGCTCCCATTTACATCTAAACTCCTCGAGCGCCTAGTCTACACCCCGCCTATGCTCTCACCTCAACGACAACAACCTCCTCGATCCCCTACAGTCCGGCTTCCGTCCCTACACTCCACCGAAACTGCCTTACTCAAACTCTCCAACGACCTGCTAACCGCCAAAGCTAATGGCCACTATTCAGTGCTCCTACTCCTTGACCTCTCTGCGGCCTTCGACACAGTCGACCACCCCCTTCTCCTCAAAAAACTACACTCCCTCGGCCTCAGAGATTCTGCTCTCTATCCTGGCTCTCATCCTACCTGTCACAACGCTCCTTCAGCGTTACCTATAATGCTACCACCTCCCCCTCACTCCCCCTCTCTGTTGGGGTCCCTCAAGGATCTGTCCTCGGCCCCTTCTCTTCTCCATCTATACCTCCTCCCTTGGCCAACTCATACACTCTCACGGCTTCAACTACCACCTCTATTGCCGACGACACACAAATCTATCTCTCGACCCCCACCTCACCCCCTTGGTCTCAGCCCGAATCACACACCTACTGAGCGACATATCAGACTGGATGTCGCTCCACTTCCTTAAATTGAACCTCTCCAAAACCGAGTTTCTTGTCTCCCCCCCAGCCCGGACACCACCCCCCATTGATTTTTCTCCATCACATCCAACAACGCTACCATCAAACCCGCCCTGCAGGCCAGAGTACTGGGTGTCATTCTGGACTCCAACCTATCCTTCCATCCAGCCCCAAGTCCAATCTTTAA